TGTGTGTGTGTGCACAAAAAAAAAAAAAACAGCTTAATAAACACACTAAATAATGTCGTCATGAAAATGTACAAATGCAGAATGATTTGTTTGTGGCAGGGTTAATATCATTAAATAATATTAAAACAAAAACAATTAATAAAAATTTAATTATTTGAAATAAAATGAACATTAACTGAAAGAAAATAATTATAAATAAATATTATAAATTATAATAAAAAAAAAACGATTTTATTTCAACTAGTTGCCAAGGCAAAATTTCTCATTTTTGTTTAAGTTGAAATACTAAAATAACTAAATCTAAATAAACTAAAACTTAATAAAAACTATACAGACATATTAAAATAAAAACTAATTAAAATGGCAAAGACGCACATCGAAATTACTAACAAATTTATCTAAAATTAAAATGAAAACAGAAAAAAAACTTTAAAAAATCTTTATATAAATATATATTCAAAATATTAACAAAAACTATAATAGTATAATAATGAATCTAAAATAACACTGGTTTGCTGGTTAAGTTTAGGGTTATTCAACTAGTTTAACCTCAAACTGAGGTTTGTGAGTTGATGAAAAGCTAATAATGAATCATAAAGAAATGCAAAATTTAAGAAAGAAATAGATTTAGAATAAAAACAATCAAAATAAATAAAAGATTAAATATTTTCATTTGATTACCTACATGTCTTTTGACCATTAATGGTGCAAAGTTTTTGTCATTTTGCTGTTTTTATTATTATTATTATTATTATTTTAAAAGTCTATATCGTTTTTATACATTTTTATTTCAGTTTTAGATATTTTATTACATAAAGTTAAGAAATTAGAAATGTTGCCTTGGCAACTAGCTGAAATAAGTAATTATTTTATGCTATATTTTATTTAAGTTAACATTTATTTTATTTTTTTTTATAATAATTTTTATTGAATTTTCACTGTAATACAAAAATAACAAGGCATCGCCCAAAAGAAACAAACCAAAAAAACAAACAAACAAAAAAACACACACACATAGCTCAGATTATTAAATAAAACAGGACTACCCCATATATAACAGATTAGGGAAAGAAGGAAAAAAAATGAATAGGGCAGAAAAGTTAAATGTCCAGACAGTTACACAATTACAATATTCCTTGTAGTATAATAGGGCGAAGATGAGGTTCCATATAGTCCAGATATAGAGTCCAGACTTTATAAAACAGGCCAAGTTAACATTTATTAAATGTGTTCATGTGTGTTTGGGTGTCTCGTTCAGGTTTTATAAAGGCACGGTCCCACGGCTGGGCCGAGTGTGTTTGGACGTGGCCATCGTCTTCATCATCTACGAGGAGGTCGTCAAGATCCTAAACAAAGTCTGGAAGACGGAGTAAACGAAGTGACGAGACGAGTGTGACGGAGCTGTTCACGTCTGCAGTTACGTCAGGGTTTGATTTCATCCCATTAGTTCTGCCTTTAAACACGCACATAATATTTAAAAAAATTGATTTTTAATATCATACAACAGCTCTGAAATACTCTTAAACTGTAGTCAAATTAACATTAAACACTGTAAGTGCCAAATTTAACGGATTTTGTTTATTAATAAATAGATGGTTTAACTGCTAGATTTAATAAAGAGCAAACAAACACACACACGCACGTGTATGTTTACAAATGTTTGCACACAAACAAACATGAAACTCTTGAGCCAGAGAAATCATTTAGAGAAAAGTGTGACTGTAAATGTGTTTAATGTTTTAACCGGAGAAAATCTTCAAGAGCAATTGGGAATATTTACATATTGGGGATATATGAATATTTATTGATAGATTTACATAAAAAGAGAAATTTAATTGCAGATCATTCCATAATACTGTACGAATTTTTTTTTAAATATGATTAGTTTTTTTTTTGAATGTTTCTGACATTTCTACTTAAAATGTTTTGTTTTTATCTAAGGCTAATATTTTTACATTTGTAAAACCATTTTTATGAATTAATTTGAATATATTTTATATTTATTTTCCTGTTGCACACGTGCCTTTAACCATTAAACTCTGAACAACACAAACAGACATCTATAATAATTTCTTTGTCGGTTTTGAAGCATCTTTTGTCGGTCATGACCTGCTGTATCTGTCCATGTACAATAGATTGAACTGGAATATAGATTCAGTGAATGTCAGATACATACACTTACTGTAAATGTGACTGATTACAGAGCAGACTCACCTCTGAATGGATCTGAGATGGATTATTTAAGTGTGTTTTCTGTGTAAGCCCTTCGGTTTTTGCAGCATGAATCTCCAGCTCTGTGTGTGTCAGTATCTGTATGAGGTGAAATAGTGTCATGTATCTTTTATTGATCATAATTGAATCTGCAGTGCTGCTGCTGACCGCTAGAGGGCAGAATCAGCGTGGAAAGATGTTTCATGTGTCTGGATGGAGCTCATGCTTCAGTGTTGATCTCTCTCTCTCTCTGTGTGTGTGTGTGTGTGTGTGTGTTTGTGTGTGTTTTTGGGCCCTTTAGAAATACTCTGTGGGATTGTTTATGCCATATACTGTTAAATGTTTGTTCTTGGCTTTTTCTTTGTAGATCTGGAGGCTTCATAATACTAAATGCTAATGTGCTAATAAAATGATTTTATTTTCACAGTTAAATCAGCTCTGTGACATTATTTTGTGCTTTTGGATTTTTGAAATATATAGCTTTATAGACTCTAGATAAGAACAGTATGGAAGCCCATTTTCGCCTCAGAATAAAAAAATAAAACATGTAGCCTAATTGCAACTTTTTCTCACAATACATTTTATTTTTAATTTTCAGAACTTTTTCAATATAATCAATATAAATGCAGAATTCAGACTTTTTTTTGTCGCATTTCTGACTTTTTTTTACTCTAAATTCTGACTTTAAATCTTGCAAATCTGTTTTTTCCCCCCGCCACGGAATTAAAAATAAAAAAGTAAATTGTGACTTCTTATCTCACATTTCTGACTTTTTCTCACAATTGAAAGTTTATATTTCACAATTCCAACTTTTCTTCTCAGAATTGTGATTTCATATTATTAATTTTCACAATTCTGAGTTTATATCTCACAATTCTTACTTTTTTCTCAGAATTGCAAGAAAAAAAAACAAAATTGAGAGATAAAAAGTCACAATTACCTCTATATCGTGTAAAAGAAAAAATGAGCTCACAAATGGTTTTAAAAATGGAATGCGAAAAAATGGAATTAAACATTAAATAGTGAAGAAGAAAGACTAAAATAGTTTTTTTTTTATAAAAGGTACTCCAAAAATCTTTTTATTTACAACTTTGAAAAATCCTTTTTTAGTGTGTGCTTTAGCATGTTAGTCAACACATCAAAATAAGTGTACAGCTTCAAAATTTAATGATGTAAAATGTACTTTAAAGCAAAACTTTCAAATTGACATCATTTCAAATGTCTTTTTTTAAAAGTGCACTTAAGTGTGTGCCTTTTATTTCATTAATATATTATCTGCAGGTACAGTGTAAAAATAGACTTTTAAGATTTGAAGTCTGTTCATTTCTAAGGTGTTGTGAGTGTTGCTATGCGGTTGCTAGGGTGTTTCTAGGCGAGTGTCTATGATCTCGTGGTGAACTCTGGAATAACAATAGTTCTGTATCAGTCCGGCTAATGAAGGATTATTTGACTTCTTTCTTTTCTTTCAGATGAAAGATGCACCAGTGTGTCCGTCTCATGTCTGTCTCACTCACACACACACACTCACTCACACACACACA